TAGTGGGTAACCTGGCTACAAAATCCCATTTTTGAGTCAGCTTTCTCAGACCGCTTCCAGCACCAACAGAAGCTGACTCTGAAATGGATATTCGCAGAGAGCTTATTGAGGCTTGCTTGGATCCAATCCCTTTAAGCAAGTGAAGGAAAGAAGGATCGGGAAGAGAAAGATGTTGAACTACAATATGGTTGTAACAAAGGCCTCAGTCAATCTTGGGGGAATTCTCCAGAGCTAAAATGGCCCTTCAGAGTTGTCCCAAATTGTAGCAAGAGCACCAGGACTTCATATTCTTATATCAATTAGTCATTGGAAGGGAGGCAGCTCTCTTCAGCTGAAGGTGATCATGGGGAGTGGAGGAAGTGGGTGAGGACACACTCAGCTATGGGTCATTAACACTCCCAGGACCAGGCAGGCATTTCAGTCTTGAATGAGACTAGCTGGGTGATACACCACAGTGTTCACTAAATAAAATGAAAGAAATATGGGAAAGTGGTAGAATATCTCCTTCCAGTGAAGTTAGAAGTAACTGAAGGGCAGAGAGTGCAAAAACTACAAAGAGAAGCTGAGTCCTATTTCTTAAATATAAATAGGGCATTCCAGACTGTTGTTGAAACTGTTTTTTTTTTTTTTATTTGAGACGGAGTTTCGCTTTTGTTACCCAGATTAGAGTGCAGTGGCGTGATCTCAGCTCACCGCAACCTCCACCTCCTGGGTTCAAGCAATTCTCCTGCCTCAGCCTCCCGAGTAGCTGGGATTACAGGCGCGTGCCACCATGCCCAGCTAATTTTTGTATTTTTAGTAGAGATGGGGTTTCACCACGTTGACCAGGATGGTCTCGATCTCTTGACCTCATGATCTACCCACCTCGGCCTCCCAAAGTGCTGAGAAATGTTTGAGACTTTAAATTTTTATTTTTACTTAATTATTTTAAGAGACAGTCTTGCTCTGTTCTCCAGGCTGCAGTGCAGTGGTGACATGGTGGCAGGCCAGGTCTCACTAACCCAGGCCTCTGTAACGACTGTTTGAGCACTGAGTGATGAAGTTAAATATTAAAAGCTGAGAGAGCCAATCCCCTATACAAAGGCTGGAAAGTAGCAAAAGCCCATCAAGAGTTTTTTCCCCAGGGCTCACACCTGTAATCCCAGCACTTTGGGAGAGACCAGCCTGACCAACATGGGGAAACCCTCTCAGTACTGAAATACAAAATTAGCGAGACGTGGTGGCACATGTCTGTATTCCCAGCTACTAGGGAGGCTGAAGCAGGAGAATTGCTTGAACCTGGGAAGTGGAGGTTGCAGTGAGCCGAGATTGCACCACTGCACTCCAGCCTGGGTAACAAGAGGGAAAACCGGTCTCAAAAAAAAGTTTTGCCCAGGCCCTTCCTAGGCCTTAAAGCATGCCAAGATAACGAAGAAATTTTTTTTTTCTTGGAGGCGGAGTCTCGCTCTGTTGCCCAGGCTGGAGTGCAGTGGCTCAGTCTTGGCTCACTGCAACCTCCGGCCCCAGGTTCAAGCAATTCTCCTGCCTCAGCCTCCCGACTAGCTGGGACTACAGGCTCGAGCCACCGCACTCAGCTAATTTTTGTATTTTTAGTAGAGATGGGGGTTCACCATGTTGGCCAGGATGGTCTCGATCTCATGACCTTGTGATCTACCCCCCTCAGCCTCCCAAAGTGCTGGGATTGCAGGTGTGAGCCACCACACCCGGTAACAAAGGAATTCTTAACAGGACCCATTTAGGATTAAACAAGCTGTTTTGGGGGCTGAAGAAACTCCCCAGACTTCCACAAAGTTTATTGAGGGATCTGAAGAAATTCCCCAAACCTTCATGATTTAGCAAGAGACAAGATAAGGGTAATCACCCCAGTACTTGGATCCATTTAGATTAAGTAAATTTACTGAGGCTACAGAAGGTCGTCAGGACTCAGATCTTAATGATTAGAAGTTAATCACTTATGTCTTTAGATGAATTCATACTTACATGTAGACATACATCTTAGAAGGTGTATAAGCAAGCTCTGGAAAATTCTGAGTTGGTCTGGCAATATTTTCCAGGCCTTTTCCCTGTACTCAGTTATGGAAAGAAACTCCCTTATTTCTCAGTTCATCTGCATCTTGTCACTGGGCCGTGACAATAAGCGGCCCCACCCATGGTTGGTTTGGGAACGCAATCACAGCTCACTGTAGCCTCCACCACCCGGGCTCAAGTGATTCTGTCACCCGGGCTTTGTGTAGCTAGGACCACAGGTCCATACCATTATGCTAGGCTGATCTGAGCTAAAGCAAATTGTTTTCTTCCTCCCACTCCCACCCATTTTAAATTTTGTGGGGGAGATGGGGCTCTCACTATGTTGACAAGACTGGTCTTGAACTCCTGACCTCAAGGGATCCTCCTGCTTTGGCCTCTCAAAGTGTTGAAATTACAGGTGTGAGCCACCATGCCCAGCCTATTTTTTAGGGTGGATATACTCTTAGGAAAAAACTTTTCACAGTAATGTAAAGTTGGACATGAAGATAGAAACAAAATTCCAGCAGGTGTGATAATGAAGGGTTAAAGAAGATTAAGAAGAGGCCGGGTACAGTGGATCACGCTTGTAATCCCAGCACTTTGGGAGGCCGAAGTGGGTGGATCGCCTGAGGTCAGGAGTTAGAGACCAGCCTGGCCAACATAGTGAAACCTTGTCTCTACTAAAAATAATAATAATTTTTAAAAAATAGGAGGGCCCAGCGGGTGGATCACGAGGTCAAGAGATCGAGACCATCCTGGTCAACATGGTGAAACCCCGTCTCTACTAAAAATACAAAAAATTAGCTGGGCACTGTGGCACGTGCCTGTAATCCCAGTACTCAGGAGGCTGAGGCAGGAGAATTGCCTGAACCCAGGAGGCAGAGGTTGCGGTGAGCTGAGATCACGCCATTGCACTCCAGCCTGGGTAACAAGAGCTAAACTCCGTCTCAATTAAAAAAAAAAAAAAAATAGGAGGGCATGGTGGTGGGTGCCTGTAATCCCAGCTACTTGGGAGGCTGAGGCAGGAGAATTGCTTGAATCCGGGAGGCAGAGGTTGCAGAGAGCGGAGATCATGCCATTGCACTCCAGCCTGGGCAAGGAGAGTGAAACTCTGTCTAAAAAAAAAAAAAAAGGATTAAGAAGCAATTCAACAAGCACTTAAGTTTTTATGTAACAAATGATGGATTACAAAGATAAACATGGTACCCAATTTAGTAAAAAGAAATAGCAAGATAATGAAACAGAATCTCCAAAGAAACATCATTCAGTTCCTTCCTTATACTAAATATTAAGCTCCAGGCTGTGTGCAGTGGTTCACAGCTGTGATCCCAGCACTTTGGGAGGCTGAGGTGGGAGGATCCCTTGAGGCCAGGAGTTTAAGACCAGCCTAGGTAATATAGTGAGACCCTGTCTGTCTCTCATCCGGGCTGAAGTGCAGCAGCACAATTTTCATGGCTCATTATAGCCTCAACCTCCCAGGTTCAAGTGATCCTCCTGCCTCAGTCTCCCAAGTGCTTGGGATTACAGGTATGAACCATCACACTCGGCCTCTACAAAAAGTTTAAAAAATTAGCCACACTGGCATATGCCTGTACTCCCAGCTGCTGGGGAGGCTGAGATGGTAGGATTACTTGAGCCCAGGAGTTCAAGGCTGCAGTAAGCACTCCAGCCTGGGTGATAGTGAGACCCTGTCTCCAAGAAAACAAAAAATTAAGCTTTAAGTTAGGAGCATTGTTTAATATCCTCTCAAAATACCAAGACCATTTCTCTCCATCTCAGTAGGCAGTAGGGAAGCAGACTTTCAAATAACTAAACTCCAAACAACTGGCACTGGACGAGCATCACGCTGTGGCTTTACTGTCACGTGTACCTTACATTCATTTTTTCCCCCTAAAAATCTTTTAAAAAACCAACACATTTCAGTTCTTTTCTAGTTCTTATTACACATGTTGTCAGGAAGAGTGGTTCTCAAAGTGTGGTCCATGGACCTGCAGTTCTGGCACTGTTAACTTGTTAGAAATTATAATACTTGGGCCCCACTCCATCCCTACTGAGTCTGAGTCTAGGGTGGAGCCCAGCAATCTGCTTTAACCACCCCTGCAGGTATTCTGATGGGCCTTGAGATGAAGGACCACTTGTCAAGTGCCCAGTAAAGCATGGCCTAAGCCACCAAACTCAAATCAGCAGCTTAGGAGGGGCAGTCAGCTGGCTTTTGAAACAAGATGTTTTCTCACTGCTTAAAAAGCAGGTTCAGATTTATCCAAAGGATTTGGAAACTTATGTCCACACAAATGTTTCCAGTTTTATTTGTAATTGCCAAAATGTGTAAGCAAGTTCCCTCAGGAACTGAATGGATAAACTGTGGTACATCCACACAATGGAATATTTATTACTCAGCACTCAAAAGAAATAAGCTATCAAGCCACGAAGAGATGTGGAGGAAATTGAAATTCGCTTTACTAAGTGAAAGAAGCCAATCTGATAAGGCTGCCTGATGTGATTCCAACTATGTGACATTCTAGAAAAGGGAAAAACTTCCATACCATAGACTAATGGTCTCTGAGGCAAGAGGAAAAGGGAAAAGAAAAAGAGAGAGAAAAAAGGGAAAAACTGGAGACAGTAAAAAGACACCATTGTCAGGGGTGTTGGGGGAGGAAGATATATCTGGCAGAGAATTGTGGGGGTGGTAAAGTGTTATGATAGAATAATGGTGGATACATGTCATTATACATTTGTCCAAACTCACAGAATGTTCAAGAATGAACCTTAAAAAATGTCCCCCTCTGGTGGGGGATGTTGATAACGGGGGAGGTGTGAGAACAAGGAGAATATGGGAAATTTCTGTACCTTCCACTTAATCTTGCTGTGAATCTAAAATTCCTCTAAAAATATAAAGTCTTAAAAGACAAAACAAAAAGTAGGTTGAGAGAGGTGATTTGGGGTAGATAAAAATGAAAATTATGGCCTTTTGATTCAGACAATGAAAACTGAAGTGATCTTTTAAAGTATGAGTTTATTCTCCAGGTTTTCTTAAATACCCACAAATTAGTGTTTTTATTGCTGCTATATCCAAGAGCTGAAAACAATTTAAAATATGTACTTTTATCATACATTTAACACTTACAAGAGATAGAATGGAACTGTATGAATTTTAAAGATAAGCTTTTCAGATTCGGTAACATATGACAGAAAATTGAGGATAATTATAGAAACAGCTATTGAACTCTAAAATAAAAAAATATGGAAAGAAAAGATTTTGTTTTTTAAAAAATGGCTCATCACCTCTCCTGCTGGTTAATACACTAATGACAATGAAATTGAGTCAAGTGTTATCTTCTCCATATTTAAAACAAAGTGCTTCTTTTCATGATTGCCAGCTTTAGGTCTGAAATGTAAAACAGGATTAATTGAGTTTCCGCACAACTCAGATATTTTACTATTGTACTTTATGCTAATGAATTATTTTGTAATACTTAGAAAATAAATTGGTAAATACCTCATAAGTTTGCTTGATTAGTTTGACAGGAAAAAACAAGAAATGGATGAACAGCTGATGGAGTTGATTGCGATTTGGTCACTGGGACTGTTACAAATGGCACTGAATCATACACAAAGAGTCTAGTGTGAGGGTGTGTTAAATTAAGACCAAAGACAGGCTGGGTGCAGTGGCTGACGCCTATAATCCTAGCACTTTGGGAAGCCAAGGTGGGTAGATCACCTAAGGAGGTTAGGAGTTCGAGACCAGCCTGGCCAACATAATGAAACCCCGTCTCTACAAACGCAAAAATCAGCTAGGCATGGTGGCACGTGCCTGTAACCCCAGCTACTTGGGAGGCTGAGGCAGGAGAATCGCTTGAACATAGGAGGCAGAGGTTGCAGTGAGCTGAGATACACCACTGCACTCCAGCCGAGGCAACAAGAGTGAAACTGTCTCAAAAAATAAATAAATAAATAAAACAGGAGGAATATTTGCAATCTCTAGCAATGTATTTGTCCAAATAGTCCAGGTTTGACAAGCCCAAAGGTAATGAGTCCCTAGAAAGATGGAAGTTAATGGGAAGCTAGTTTCAAATTAGCTTCAATTTTGTTTACAAATTAACAATACATAATTTCATCTTCTAGCCTTTTCATTCAAAGGAAAAGTAAAACCATTCTCTGTTAGTGTGAACTTCTGTTTCTAAACTTGTTTTTTTTTTTGGAGACAGAGTCTCCCTGTGTCACCCAGGGTGGAGTGCAATGGCATGATTTTGGCTCACTGCAACCTCCACCTCCCAGGTTCAAGCAAGTGTCCTGCCTCAGCCTCCCAAGTAGCTGGGACTATAGGTGAGCACCACCACGCTTGGCTTACTTTTAAATTTTTTTTTTAGTAGGTTTTACCATGTTGGCCAGGCTGGTCTCAAAATCCTGACCTCAGGTGATCCGGCCACCTCGGGCTCCCAAAGCGCTGGGATTACAGGTGTGAGCCATCTCACCTGGTCTTTTTTGGTTAGTTTTTAAAAGATAAGTGATAGCAGATGTTGATGTTATTAATGTGACCAATGCATTGAACTTCCAAAGAAAAAAATTAGATTACTTTAGTACTATGTCATTATTTGCAATGACTCACAGCATAAACATGACAGATATCCCACAATTGTCTTCAGTCCTGTGATCATGAAACAGGACAATTGATAATTTTCCATTAAGTGGAAAATTAATTAGGAGAAATACCATTTCTAGAATGTTTAGGTTTCTCTTCTCTTCATTTGAATTTTTTTAAAGTAGACTTCACACTTTCTTCATTTAAGCATCATTTTAAATAACCTTCTGTTTTTTTATTTTCTCCAAAATAAATCAAATTTAAAAAACACTTGCAAAATGTTTGTACCAATTGATCTCAGATTGTTTCTTTGACAGTAAGCTACTTTTAATTCTCTGAAAATATTTAATGCTATACCAGTTACTATGAGGGAGGCCTGAAGTCTTTCTTTTTGCCATTTTTTAAAGCATTAGATTATCCAGTGTTCATAAAATGGAACTAAAGTTCCTACAAAAATAATAAATGTGGAACAATAATGATGTACTTAGACTTAAAAGTTAAAGCCTCAAATAAGCCTTATAAAAACAACTTTATGTTAAATTGAAACCCATGCAAAATACAAAGAAAGGGGGAAAGGGAGAAAAAAAAAAAAGCAGTCACTATCCCTATTGACAGGACTGCCAGAGGATGAGGGCTGAAAGCAATCAATCTACTGTGATTGGAAGCAGTCTGACTCAAAAAAACAACCTCTACAGCTTACCAGATTGCTGCATACACACTCAGTCTAGACTTTCAGCCACAGGATCAAAACACAAATTCTTCACAAAACACAACTCTATCCCGAATGTTCTTGTGTGCTCTATGTTGCTTTTCTATTCTACTAAATGATTGATAGCTTGACAACGAAATTTATTTTATTTAAAAAACACTTGTCAAATCACCCCATAAAATGTTTGGAATCAGAGGTAACTGTAGAAAGGAAATGTGTATATACTGCTTTTTATTGTAATATGTTTGTTAGTTGAATGAAAACAAACAGTAGCTAAAAAGGTTTCAAATAGAAAAACATATCTGGGTAAATTATTACACAATTTTTGTGTATTCAGACGACAGAAATGTGTATTTTTGCACCAATTGCAAATGCAAAGTTAAAAATGAACTCAGGGAACTGAAAGGACAAAGGGAGTCTCAAACATACTCACTATTTTAAAATTTAAGACAAAGAAGCTTAGAAAAAAACCCAACATATACACCATTATAACAGTCTTTTTTTCTTTTTAATTACTTCCAATTTTAACTGTTTTCTAAAAGCATTAAGACCTTTATTGTAGATTATGTATCATCTCCTCTTTGGCTATGAGATGTGTAGTTTTGTTAACCAGAGACATTAATGAGTTCAGTTTCTGAGACCAGTCATTTAATAAATTATTTGGATCCTTGGGTCTCTGGAAGTTGATAATTCCTGCTAATCTGTCTACTTTAGCAAAGATGGTCTTGTTAACTACTAGATTTGAGAGAAAGGCTTCAGACTCCTGCAAGAGAGAAAGACGAATTGAATTAAGACAGGATAAATTACAGACGATATACAAAACTTCAAAAAGCATTTCCTAAACTCTTTATCCAAGAATATGCAGGGCTAAAAATTCATGTTTAAGACTTAGTAACTGCTCAGCTGGGTGTGCTGGCTCACGACTGTAATCCCAGCACTTTGGGAGGCCAAGGTGGGTGGATCACATGAGGTCAGGAGTTTAAGACCAGCCTGGGCAACATGGTGAAACCCCATCTCTACTAAAAATACAAAAATTAGCAGATATGGTGGCATGCACCTGTAGTCCTAGCTGCTTAGGAGGCTGAGGCAGGACAATCGCCTGAACCTGGGAGGTGGAGGTTGCAGTGACTTGATATCGCACCACTGCACTCCAGGCTGGGTGACAGGGCAAGACTCTGCCTCAGGAAAAAAAAAAAAAAAAAAAGAATTAGCAACTGTTGACTTACTGTACTTATTTTACTGATATTCTAGGGAATCAATAGAATCTCAGTAGATTCAGTCAGGGGTGAGTTTGAATCTGCCTCCCTGCAAACTCAATACTGCTGGTATCCATGCCAACAGCAAGCTGGTCTACTCCCTTTTCTACAGTTTCCCCTTAAAAGGCAGCATGGTAAAGTTAATTTGCTTCCAGAAATGCTGAGTTAGAATATACGCTCTCCCACTTGGCAACTACGTAGCCATGGACAAGACAGTTGACTTCTAAGGACTCTGGTACTCTCATTCCTAAGTGACAAGCGCTGATGAGGTGATCAAGGTGCAAACCTTCCAATTCTAATGTTCCATCATTCTTACCACCTAAACTGTCACAACTCCTTCTGATGATAGACATGGCTTTTCAGGCCATTACTGTACACTTCGGTTAACTCCTCTTTGTATGCTGTGCATTCTGTCAACACGAAACGGAGACCTGAAGACAATACCGCTACAAGTGACTCTTGGATCACCTGATACTTAGGTTATTTTTTGGTACTCAAGACAGCTTGGGAAACTTTCTATAATTCTATTACCTAAACATAAAAGTAAATAAAACTGATTTCCTTACTCAACCTTTACAAGTCAATATTCTAAAGGAATAACTACAAATAACTCAAAGTTTATGTTTACTACTTACATCAACAGATAGATCCAGAAGCTGTGCCATTCTTTTCATTGTTATCCGAGTATAATACTTAGCCATTATTCTAATATTCTGGGGAAAGGACAGAGAACAGGGAGAATACATAACATTTGTCAGTAACTCTAAAAGTCCATTTATTTTCATATCCAAGTAAGTTTACTTGAAATGTTAGACTCAGAGCTTTTATTTTTCTATAGCCCATCCCTGGAGCAAAGGTGATTCTAATCCTCAATAACAAAACTAAATACAGATATTTTGGTTTCTGCAGTTATTTGTGAATTACTCTGAGTATTCTACATAGCTCTTTAAACATATAGTCAAAATATATGCCTATCACTAAATTCGTAGTTAATAATTATAATTGTACTGAAATATTTTTTTCTGAGTGCAAGAATCTACAGTTAAGCTTTTCTAATTTTAACAAAAATGTTTTAAAGGCTAAAATCTAAAAAATGTTTGGAGATTGGGTACAGGGGCTCATACCTGTAATCCCAGCACTCTGGGAGGCTGAGGTGGAAGGACTGCTTGAGGCCAGGAGATCCAGACCCCATCCCCGCCGGGCGCAGTGGCTCAAGCCTGTAATCCCAGCACTTTGGGAGGCCGAGGCGGGTGGATCACGAGGTCAAAAGATCGAGACCATCTTGGTCAACCTGGTGAAACCCCGTCTCTACTAAAAATACAAAAAATTAGCTGGGCATGGTGGCGTGTGCCTGTAATCCCAGCTACTCAGGAGGCTGAGGCAGGAGAATTGCCTGAACCCAGGAGGCGGAGGTTGCAGTGAGCCGAGATGGCGCCATTGCACTCCAGCTTGGGTAACGAGAGCAAAACTCCGTCTCAAAAAAAAAAAAAAGACCCCATCCCCACAAAAAAATTTTAAAATTAGCTGAATATGGTAGTGCATGCCTACAGTCCTAGCTACCTAGGAAGCTGAGGTGGAAGGATCCTTTGAACCCAGGAGTTCAAAGTTATAGTGAATAGCCACTGCACTCCAGTATGGATGACAGAGCTAAACTGACTCTCACTTTCTTAAGAGACTGGGTCTTACTATGTTGCCCAGACTGGAGTGCGGTGGCTATTCAAAAGCACAATCCCACTACCGATCAGCATGTGAGCTCACTTTCAAAGAAAAAAAAAAGATTGGATATCATTTCATGTAATCATCACTTTACCACTGTTCCAATGACTTAAAGGTAGCTTCATATTAAATTTCTAAATTTTCACTGGAGATGGTGTTGAAGTTAAGACACAGAGACTCCCCTTTACTATTCTTATTGGTAGTAGTATTAACAATAGCACTCAAAAAAAGGTGGGGGAACAGTGGGGAAAAAATGTACTCATCTTTGAAGAAGCTGCATCTTCTCCTGTCTCTATCGGGGCTGATGGCAACACCAACACATCAGAAAGCATGAGAAGCATTCTTCCACTCGCTTTTCTTTTTCCTTTAAATCTAACCTTTTCCTTCATGCTTTAAGTCTAATCAAAGGCTGCATCCTATTGATTTCCTTCCTTGTTGAAATCCTATTGATTTCCTTTCCATCCTATTGATCCCATTCCATGCACTCTTTAATTCCTCGGTACTGCCTTAGTTGAATTCCATCTCTCTCTCACTTTGCTAGTCTTCTCTAGTCTCATCTCTCTCCAAATGCTTTCTCCACATTCACTCTCAGAGGGACTTAGTGCTCAGGCTGTCCTCCCGTCCTTGTCTGCCAGATAACCTCACACTCCTCTTAGAAGCCTCACTTCAATCAACAATTCTTTCAACCTGATCATTCCTCCATGCAGAAATACCCAAGTTTCCCGTAAGTCTCACTCCGCTCTCTATATGTGTACTACAATATCTGATACTTTTTATTTATAAGTACATCTTTCCCTATCATTTTTAATCTTATTAAAGGTAGAGTAATATCTTATTCTCCTGTGTGCCCTGGCACTTTGTACAGCATCTGGCACATAGAAGGCTCACAATCAATGTTTGTTATGTGAAAGAGTGAATGGTAACATAATACAACATAACAGCAGCGATAACCTAAGATCAAAGTTCAGGTTTAAGACATGCTACCTGTTTCCAAGACTAGCGAGTGAACACTGGGGAGAAACACCCTCCTGCCCCTATTCTTGGGAAATTCTGTCTGGTTTACATGCTATAAAATTTTGGATTCTTGAGAGGTTCTCTCAAATAAAGCATGCTAAAATATAGCCATCTTTTCTGAAAAGCCAAAAATAGGGAAAAAAACCAAGACGAGTGAGATACATTCCAATATGCTTTTGGAAATGTAAACATTTGAACACCAAATTTATATCACACTACACTGGGCATAAAAAAAAATCCTAAGTAAAGAATTAAAGACATACCATCTAAAATGAAGATTTAATTCTCAAATGTGAAAAATAAAATAGTTTATGCTCAAATTTGCCGAAGTGTAATTCTAAAAAGTAAATTGGCTAAAGGTTAAAATAAAAGTTGTCATTTCTATGCCAGATTCTTACATGTTCAACAACTCTGTTCTTCAAGTCTTTCCACCTTTTTTCGCCTTCCTCTGTAGAACCAAAAACATCAGTTGCAGGACTCTCAGGGGAACCTTTCCTTAATTCCATTCCATAGTCCTCAACAAGTGTGGACCAACGCATCAACTCCATTGTGGTAAAAAGCTTTAAAAGATCCCTGCAAATTGGATACATCTTAATATTCCAAATCTGTAAAAATTAAGTATTAACTAATATAACAGCAAAGTTCAAAAAAATCAACAGACTGTTTTTGTTCAATTTTATTTAGGAGACACAATTTGATTATTTATTTTACCAATTTTATTAGCATTTTTTTTCCCACAGTAGTTCAGAATACAGCATTCTCCCACTTAACACTCTGCTCTCTTCTGCACTGTCAATTTCTGAAATAACACTGTAAATGTACTCATGAAACAAAGAAATAAGAGCCTGTTGTGCTTATGATGAAGCAAGTCTATTTTATATAACAGATTTTCAGAAGTGTGTCTTTCTGAGAATCACAAAGCTCTAAACTACTAGGGGTGGAACGCTATCGAATGGTTACACAAAAGCCGCTAAAGCAGACCTGATATGAAACTTCCACCTGAAAAGCAATGTAGAATAAAGTATATTATGGTCTCGTTGATTGCTAATGTAATACTAAAAAAAATTTCACCACTTTATCATCTCTACTTTTATTTTTTAATATAATCTATCAGTAACCAATTAAGAAGTTAACACTTCGGCCAAGCATGATGGCTCAAGCCTGTAATCCCAGCACTTTGAGAGGCTGAGGTGGGCAGATGACCTGAGGGCAGGAATTCAAGACCAGCCTGGCCAACATGGTGAAACCCTGTCTGTACTAAAAATACAAAAATTAGCTGGGTGTGGTAATAGGTGCATGTAATCCCAGCTACTTGGGAGGCTGGTGCAGGAGAATTGCTTAAACTTGGGAGGCAGAAGTTGCAGTGAGCTCAGTTGGCACCACTGCACTCCAGCCTGGGCAACAAGAGCGAAACTCCATCTCCAAAAATGAAGTACAAAAGTATACACGTAGGTTAGCCAATTTTCTTTCAAAATGGAGTTTCTACTGCGATATTATCATGCTAATTTCAAAAGTACTTACTTGTATTTGGGAATTTCTTCTAACTTCTTGTCACCACTTATTCGGTGAACCAAATCGGACTGTTCGTTGTCAAAAGGAGCCAGGATAACATAGAGTACAACACTCTTCAGAGCCTGAAAGAGTTGTACAATAAAGGTTATATGCAAGACTAGACATAATGGAAACATTGGCAAAAACTGAACAATTACACACTGCCATGTGTGTACCTATGCAACTGTCTTGCATGTTCTGCACATGTACCCCAAAACCTAAAATGCAATAAAAAAATTAAAAAAAAAAAACAACAAAAAAACTGAACAATCACGGAATAACTACATATCTATTATGTATGTTAAAGTCCTAAGGGAAAAAATATTGCCAGGCTGCCTGTTCATAGTGTCTTTCTATAGCATTTAGTTTTCACAAAACTATTATAATAAATCATTGCTAATCTGAATTACTACCTTAGCTGACATTTTTGTTGACATTCATTTTTGACAAATGTATAAAGAAAAAGTTCTTAAAACAATTTGGCAGTATAAATGTGGAATGTATATATAAGCACTTTAAAACAGCTTTTGTAAAATAACTTTCCAAAGTAATGCCGGGTCTTTAACTGCAACCTTTATTAAGATGTGACCCACGGGACATATTTTAAACAGGAACCCTATATTTCTCTGAAAGTGAAACAAAATCTAAACTATTGCCACAATTAGACTGAATCAGTAATATACTAAACAACACTGAATAGAAACCAGCACCATACAAGTGCATCTAATTATTGCAGTTAAAAAGATTTGAAAATTTAAAAACGCAAATTACTCTTCTGAATAAGAAGCCATGTCAATTACATGAATATATTCTTACCTGCTGCCATTTTTCACTTTCTGCCTGTATACAGGGAGTATCATATATTGCTCTGTAGTGCTTACAAATAGACAAATAGGATCCCTCATGTTGATCCAGCTGAATCATTAAATTATAGTACTTCAACTTTAATTTCTGCAATAAAGTTGACAAAACAAATTGGGGTTTATGGGTTTTCTTCATACTTTTAAAGTAAACATATAGTCAGAGATATGCTCACCTCTGTATTTTCTTCCTGGAAAAATTTGGTGTTAATTTTCTTGCTGATGATTTGTGTTCGAATGTAATCCTTCACAGCTAGGCAGAGCCTCATCTGCTCCAAAATAAATTCCACTCGCTCTTTCTTTTCCATTGACCCGTAGGTTTCCACCTAGCACAGTAATTCCCCAAGTAAGTTTATAATACTTTGCAATTTTGCAAATTGCAACAAAATTAAATAGATATTAAAATATTCACCCTTGTTAAATAATAAGAATCTTCATATGTATAGGAAGAGTGCTGACAATTAAAAGCTAGTTACCTCTAGAAAATCACAATTTATAATGGATTTTTCCCCTTTGGTAGAAAAAATTCTATGAATTTTAACAGATGTAGTGATTTGCGTAACCACCATCACAATGAAGATACAGAACCCAAAAAACCTTCCTCACATTACCCCTTTATAATCACATACTTCCCCTTTCTCATAAGCCCCCTCTAAGACATCCAATGATCTGTACTCCATCACTATAAATTTGTCTTTTCAAGAAGGTCAAATAGAGTATACATTGCTTTGAGGCTGTCTTTATTCACTCTAAATAATGGCCTAAGTTGTAAGATTCATTCTTCAATAGTTCATTTCTTTTTACTGCTTAGTAGTATTCCATTGTACAGACATACCACAGTGTATTTATTTACCTGTTGAAGGATATCTGAGGTGATTCTTTTTACTATCACAAATAAAGCTATTATGAACAGGTTTTGTGGACTGGTTTAATGTAAATGTACATTTTCATTTCCCATGGGTAAATACTCAAGAATGGGATTGCTGGATCATATGGCAAGTATATTGCCAAACTGTTTTCCAGAGTGGCTGCACCATCTTGCATTCTCACCAGCAAGGGATAGGAGTTCCAGCTGCTTTGCATCCCCATCAGCACTGAGTATTTTACTGTTTAAATTGTAGGCATTTTAATAGGTATGTAGTGGTACCTCATTGTTGTTTTAATTTGCATCTTCTTAATGGTTAATGAGGAAATGACAATTTTAAATATGAAAAAAGATGCCATTCACAGGCTTTCAATCAAAATCCAATATAATTATTGGTCCCAAATATTCTGGATAAGGGATACTCATCCTATATTTCTATTAGAATATACTGCTAGGCCGGGCGCGGTGGCTCAAGCCTGTAATCCCAGCACTTTGGGAGGCTGAGGAAGGTAGATCACTAGGTCAAGAGATCGAGACCATCCTGGTCAACATGGTGAAACCCCGTCTCTACTAAAAATACAAAAAATTAGCTGGGCATGGTGGTGCGTGCCTGTAGTCCCAGCTACTCGGGAGGCTGAGGCAGGAGAATTGCTTGAACCCAGGAGGCGGAGGTTGCGGTGAGCCGAGATAGTGCCATGGCACTCCAGCCTGGGTAACAAGAGTGAAACTCCATCTCAAAAAAAAAAAAAAATTGAAAAGAAAAGAAAATACTGCTGACTAAACAAAGTTTTACCCATTCTAAAACAAAGTACCTTACCTGTAGCTCCTGCAAGATGGAGGCTGCCTCTTTCACATCACCGTTTTGTTCTTTTATAGTTGCTAATGTTTTAGTCAGTCGAGCACGCTCAATTTCAACATAAATCTACAAATGAGAAATTTACACAATCAAAATTCTGCGGAAATGTGTTAAAATTTTAAAAGTAGGTTGTGTGTGGTGGCTCACACCTGTAATCCTAACACTTTGGAAGGCTGAGGCAGGAGGATTGCTTGAGCCCAGGAGTTTGAGACCAGCCTGGCCAACATAGTGAAACCCTATCTCTCCTAAAATTACAAAAAATTAACAGGGCGGTGGGGGCCTGTAATCCCAGTTACTCAGGAGGCTATGGCAGGAGAATCGCTTAAACCTGGTAGGTGGAGGTTGCAGTGAGCTGAGATTGCGTCACTGCACTCCCGACTCCGTCCGTCTCAAAAAAAAAAAAGAAAGAAAGAAATTACCATGTTTAACAAATAATAGGACCACAAGCTACATAAATGGCACAGAAACTGCAAAGTGCCTTTTGAATATTTGAAAAGTGTGTTATATGTAGTCCAACGTCTACAATTAATACTCTAATTCTGATGTATCTTTAAATACAAGACTACCTTCTTTAAAAATATCTGATTTTTCTAGATATTAAAGTTGTTAACATTTTTGTAGTTATAAGTAATGTTAGTAGATTTACAATTTCCAACAAATTAAACACTAAAAATATGACTACAGTATAACCTAAAGCACCTGGGGAATGAATTTTCATGCTTAAGTTTCCTTACTCTATTTCCAATAATATCAAACTAATTACAGCTTCCTACAACTATCATGCATTTCTTACTTTGGTGTCTTTGAATATAATTTCCTCTATGTCTAAAATGCTCTTCTCCTGCACTCTGACCCTGTGGAATTTTTATTCATTTTTTTTTAAGTCACAATATAAATCTGCGATGACTAATACCTAGAAAAAGCTAGATATACCATGGCTGTCACTATTTAAATCGATTCATTTGCAGAAAGGGATGTACAAAGACATTAGTTGAATTAAAGTGATGACCTTTTGTGTATTTCTTTAAAAAATAAACATAATAGGGCCAGGTGCGGTGGCTCAAGCCTGTAATCCCAGCACTTTGGGAGGCCGAGGCAGGTGGATCACGAGGTCAAGAGATCGAGACCATCCTGGTCAACATGGTGAAACCCCATCTCTACTAAAAATACAAAAAAAAATTAGCTGGGCATGGTGGTGCATGCCTGTAGTTCCAGCTACTCAGGAGGCTGAGGCAGGAGAATTGCCTGAACCCAGGAGGCGGAGGTTGCAGTGAGCCGAGATGGCGCCATTGCACTCCAGCCTGGGTAACAAGAGCGAAACTTCGTCTCGAAAATAAAATAAAATAAAAATAATATATACTTATACAAAATATCTACATACATTAAGATTCTCTGAATATAGACAAAACAGTTTGTATCATTGTGAGTTATGTCAACAGAAAATTTACCTTGCCTTCGGTAACCATTCGTAGAGTATCAATTAATCGAAGTTTGATAGGAAGGTCTGTGATTTCCTCAACGTAAGTACAGCACTGTTGAACCATTTTAGCAACAGCCTAAAATATTAAAAACCATTCATAAGTAAAATACATTCCTCACAGAGGAAAAAAATAATGTATTTTGTTGATGGAAGAGCAATGATTGAACTTGGTCTTCCCAAGCAACTCTAGACCTGGAAACATCAAAGAACATCACATCAAAATTTCCCTAATACCGAAAAAGTCCCAAGTACCCCGTAACAAGTCAGAAAAGGTCAGGAAAACCTCAGATGCAGAGATGCAGCCAAGCAGGAAAGCACAGAAGAAACAGCATCTGATTAAAGGGACAAAAAGGGAAGAGAAAGCAGAGGTCCACAGCTACTTGAAGCCACGACCTGCAGATAACTGTGACTGAGGAGGAAAAAGGCAATGGCAGAGGCAAAAAAAAGGTAAAACAGTGCAGAAGAGTCACAGTCACCCAAATTCACCTCAATATGATGTGACCGTGAGAGCCAGAGACACTCTTCCCTTCAGTTCCTCACATGTTATATCTAGGGGCTGGAATACATTAAGCACTAACATTCTGATCTAGGTCACAAATCAGCAAACATTTTCTGTAAATTTTTATAATATTTACAAAGTAATTATTTTGGACTTTGTGGGACACACATTCTCTGTGACAACTATTCAACTTGACCTCCTTAAAAACAAATGGGCATGGCTGTGTTCCAATGACTTTATTTATAAAAAATAGGCAGGTGGGATTCGGTTTGTGTCCTGTCATTTGCCAGTGCCTGATCTAGAGTTTAAGCAATATATCATAATCATTAATAATTAGGCCCATGAGACATTAAGAAAATGTGAAATTACATTAAATATATTTTGGTTAAGGCAGCAGGGAAATAAACAGTATGTCTTAGAAAGATTTCCATGAAAAACATTTAATGTTTAAGAAGCTTAAACGTTTTTGTTATGGAGGTGATCTATCTTATTTTAGATTCAGGGGTTACATGTGAAGGTTTGTTTCATGAATAGATTGTATAGTGGTGAGGTATGGGCTTCTAGTGAACTCATCACCCAAACAGTGAACATGGAACCCTAAAGGTAATTTTGGATACAACAGGTAACCCTCACCTCCTTTCATCCTGCTTTTGGAGTCCTCAGTGTCTATTATTTCCATCTTATTTTAATTAAAAAGAATTTGTTTAAATGACATGGAGCCTCACTTTGTCACCGAGGCTGGAGTGCAGTGGCAAGACCATAGCACACTGCTACCTCAAATTCCTGGGCTTGAGTGATCCTCCCACCTCAGCCTCTTGGGCAGCTAGGACTACAGGTGTGTGCCAACACACACAGCAAATTTTTAAAAGTATTTTTGTAGAGACAGGGGTCTCACCATCTTTATGCTCCTGTGCACCTACTGTTTAGCTTCCATTTATCAATGAGAACAAGCAGTATTCAACTTTTAACTATGTGAAACACTGGCTATTTAGAGACCCAGGCATTCCAGAAAGCTAAGGTTTTATTATAAAACAGAACTCGTTCACTAAGTGCAAGGCCCTAGGACATCTAGTATCTCACAAAACATATGATCCCTGTAAAGTTAATTATAATTTCTAGAAGTGCACACAACTTGATAATTCTAAAAGCTGTGCAAAAAATCCACGAACAGAAATCAGATGCGGTTAAAAATAACAACAATAACCACAGTAGTCCCAACTTATCAAGGTTTTGCTTTCCAGTTTCAGTTAGTCATGGTCAACTGAGGTCTGAAAATATTAGTAAGTTTTAAACTGCACACCGTTCTGAGTAGTGATGAAATCAAATGCAGTCCCTCAAATCAGCCCTTGGTCCAGTGTCTCCACACTACACACCCTAGTCACTCAGGAGCCATCTCAGGTACCAGATCCACTGTCTCACATGCAGTGCTTGTGCTCAAGCAACCCTTATTATACTTCACAACAGCCTCAGAGCCCGAGAGTGGTGATGCTGACCATTCATATATGCCGAAGTGAAGCCATAAAGTGCCTCCTTTAAGTGAAAAGGTGAAAATTCTCAATAAGGAAAAGCATAATGGATATACAGTTTCATACTATTTGTGGTTTCTGGTCTCCAGAGAGGGTTTTTGGACATATCCCTTATGGATAAAGGGAGACTACTGTACATGAACACACTAATAATGCAATGGGGATGCTATTAACAACATTCTAATAAGAAGTGACCATCCTACCGCTCTCTGAAAAATATGCAAGACATTAAGGAAGTTATAGTTGGAGTGACGCCTTGGGCTCAAGTGACAGAAAATAAATAGAAAGCATTAATATTAAGCAATCAAGAAAAGGTTATTTTCATTAATTTTTTTTTTTTTTTTTTTTTTTTTTGAGACAGAGTCTTGCTCCATTGCCCAGGCTGGAGTGCAGCAGTGAAATCTTGGCTCACTGCAACCTCTGCCTCCTAGGTGCAAGCGTTTCTCTTGGCTTGGCCTCCTGAGCAGCTGGGACTACAGACATTTGCCACCATGCCCGGCTATTTTTTTTTTTGTATTTTTAGCATTGACAGGGTTTTACCACATTGCCCAGGCTTGTCTGGAACTCCTGGGCTCAGGCAATCAGCCTGCCTTGGCCTCCCAAAGTACTAGGATTACAAGCATGAGCCACCATGCTCAGCAGAAAAGATTATTTTCTTAAAGTTACTTTCCAAGTCTGCTTAAGCAAAATTTTGTAGTTAAAAAATAATTATAAGAAAAGTGGACTTTGTGGGTCACAGAGGCATTCTGAGTCCCTAAGCACTTTCCATAGCTATGGAGACCTAATATGTTACAGGGAAAGGAGAATGCCTGGTTCCAGTTCTGGTTGTCACTAGCCAGCTGTGAGACAGACTCAAAGTCCTCTCTCTCCAAGAAACCTTCCCCAATAAATCTAACCCAAAATATTCTCATCCTCCTTTCACATTTCTTTGTACATCCTATTACTCTTGTGTCACTTATACATTGCCTAATGTATGTGTAGCAATTTTAAACAATCTTAAAACTACTTGTTAAAGATGTGCTCTAATTGCTGGGTGCAGTGGTTCACACCTATAATCCCAGCACTTTGGGAGGCCGAGGTGGGTGGATCACTTGAGGTCAGGAGTTTGAGACCAGCCTGGCCAACATGGTGAACCCCATATCTCTACTAAAAATACAAAAATTAGCCGGGCGTGGTGGCGGATGCCTATAATACCAGTTACTCAGGAGGCTGAAGCAGAAGAATCGTTTGAACCCGGAAGGCAGAAGTTGCAGTGAGCCAAGATCACACCACTGCACTCCAGCCTGAACGGCAGAGAGAGACTCCAACTCAAAAAAAAAAAAAAATGCTATGATTACTTGTGACTTATATACATTACTAACCAACAGGCTGCCAAGGGGAAGACCTATAGGCTATATGTCTCTTCACATTCCAAGCACCTAACATATAAATCTGTTTCTCCACTTAGAAAGTAACAGGGCCAGGGCCAGGCACGGTGGCTCATGCTGGTAATCTCAGCACTTTGGGAGACCAAGTTAGGAGAATTGTTTAAGCCCATGAGTTTGAGGCCTGGTCAACATAGCAAGACTCCATCTCTACAAAAAACACAAAAATTAGTTGGGCATGATGGTTTGTGCCTGTAAGTCCCAGCTACTTGGTAGGCTGAGGGGGAGGATGTCTTGAGCCCATGAGATTGAGGCTGCAGTGAGCTATAATTGCACCACTGCACTTCAGCCTGAGTGACAGAGTAAGACTGTCCAAAAAAAAAGGAGGAAAAAAGTAAGGGTTAAGCAACAACCCCTACTACTAGCTCTGAGATCTTATGACATAAGAAACTAAAGTTTAAGATGTGTGCTTTGAATTGTCCTAATACTACATAAAACATAAATTTGTGTTGATTTCAATCTAGGTTGACCCAAGACTTCTAATAAAGGAGCCCTTTCAAAATTGTACCATAGAGAGTAAGTCTCTTAGAAAATAGAGTAAGATGATGGTCTAATAATTGTCTCTCAAATCACTCAACTGGGCACCAAAAAGCACACTTGAATTTCATGGCTGGGTGTGGTGGCTCACACCTGTAACCCCAGCACTTTGAAAGGCCAAGGCAGGTGGATCATTTGAGGTCAGGAGTTTTGAGACCAGCCTGGGCAACATGATGAAACCTTGTCTCTATTGAAAATACAAAAATTAGCCGGGCATGGTGGAACAGGCCTGTAATCTAAGCTACTTGGGAGGCTCAGAAGTAGTACTTGAACCAGGGGGGTGGAGGTTGCAGTGAGCCGAGGTAGTACCACTGCACCCCAACCTGGGCAACAGAGCGAGACTCTGCCTCAAATACATACATACATACATATATACATACATACACACATTTCACATTCACATATTTTAGATTGCCTCAATTAAATATATGCCAATTCTTAACACTGGCGTGAGAGAGAGAGAGAGTGCGTGTGTGTGTGTGTGTGTGTATTTTTTGAGACAGTCTTGTTCTGTTGCCCAGGCTGCAGCACAATGGCACAATCTGGGCTCACTGCAACCTTTACCTCCTGGGTTCAAGCAATTCTCCTGCCTCAGCCTCCTGAGTAGCTGGATTATAAGCACCTGCCACCACACCTGGCTAATTTTTGTATTTCTTGTAGACAGGGTTTCACAGTATTGCTCAGACTGGTCTTGAACTCCTAGGCTCAAGTAATCCACTCACCTTGGCCTTCCAAAGTGCTGGTATTATAGGTGTGAGCCACCGCACCTAGCCAACACTGTCTTTTATATGCATGTAAACTTACCTAAAGAAAAATAAACCAAAACCAATTACAGTAACTCTGACTTTTGCAAAAAACAGTTTAACCCACTTTAATATCATCTTTACCCTATAAGCAATCTAATGAATAAAATAAGAAATTTGGACAAGAACAATATATATCTATTTTTGTTCCACTACATCTTTTACAATGTTCTTATTATTTAAAGCAAAAAATAAAAACCCAGAAACTACTCAGGAAACAGCATTTAAAAGATGAGATAAAAATGTAAAAAATGAATCTACTTGTATAGGGGAACATTTAAATATATCTCAAGAAGAATAAGGAAACAGTAAAGAAAATCCAACTTCACCAAAACACTAAAAGAGAACTTAAATAATCTCTAAACAAAATAAGCAAAATGGTCTCTCTAAAAATGGCCTCAAAAATAAGTTGGAGAGCTGGGAACAGTGGCTCATGCCTGTAATCCCAGTATTTTGGGAGGCCAAGGTGGGAGGATCACTTAAGCCAAGCAATTGGAGACCGGCCTGGGCAATGTAGCAAGACTCAAGCCCCTATTTCTGCAAGTGCATGTGAGCATGCACACACACACACACATACACTAAAGATTAGATGTTTAACAGTTTATTCTTTTGGCAGACTTCAGTTTTCTCGGGCAGGCACTCTAAGCAGGGCTTGAGTCAACCTAGAAACACAGCCTTCAGCTGTTAGAAACAATCTTAGTATTTATTTAAGTCTATATAGGACAAGGTGAAGGCCTTGTGAAGAGGAGGGCTCTTTAGTCAAGGAGATAAATTTTTGTCAATATGCGCAGTTTTTGAGTATCAGTAATACCTCAAAAAGCTATTTTCAAAAAAAAAAAAAAGATAATATGACAGTGAAATGATATTTAATTATTAAACATATTTTAAAACAGCATAAAGTGTTTAATAAAAGAGGTATGACAAAATAAATCTGAATATCAACTTGATAAATTATAACATAACCATTTAAAATAAAAGTGGGGCCAGACACAGTGGCTAACGCCTGTAATCCCAGCACTTTGGGAGGCCAAGGCAGAGGGATCACTTGAGTCCAGGAGTTTGAGACCAGCCTGGGTAATATAGTGAGACCTTGTCTCTATGAAAAATTTAAAAATTGGCCAGGTGTGGTGGCACACGCCTGTAGTCCCAGCTGCTTGGAGGCTAGGTGGGAAGACTCCTTGAGCCCGGGAGGTTAAGGCTACAGTGAGCTGTAATCACACCACTGCACTCCAGCCTGGGTGACAGAGTGAGACCCTATCTCAAAATAAGTAAATAAATAAATAAGAAAAAAATAAAAGTAATGACACCAAAATAGAACAAAGCTGTATAAACACTCTAAATATATAACACAATTTTTAAAAAATATACAAACGTAAAGACTGGAAGAAAAAACAAAACAGTTGTATCATTATGAGAATGGACTGATTTTTAAAACATACTCTAGGATGTTATAATGTTGACTTAACACATTTTAAACAGACTTATAGAAGAGCTTTTGAAAAGTTCTTATTTAAATACAAATACATTTGTGTTTTAAGCAGTCATGATCATGAACTCACTTGTTTTAACTGACTCCGTCTTTTGGATAAAAGCATAATATTTTCATTAAGTAAATCCCATTCTTTAGCCTCATAGCACATCTTCACTACTGCAACTAAGATACGGGATGTAGATACCATATCGGAAGCCTGTAACGATGAAAATATATTGAAAGTTAATGGAACAATATTCAACCCAATGAATGGTAACTGAGCTTCTCCCTGTAAACTACTCACAGTACGAGTCTGCTTTTCCAAAGAAAGAAGGGTTTCAATGACTTCTTGAAGTCTTCCTTCCTAAAACAAAAGATAAAAATGAACACTAAACAACACATGAAATCCAAATAATTAGTCTAAAATGAAATGGTTTTGACACAGAAAAGGAAAAAATCAACAGCCTGTTCTAGAGGAAAAGGACCATCCCATAACTACTTTTGTTTCTCTCCTTTCATGATAGTCCTTGCTTCTCCAGTGGATTCCATCAGTCAGTGGTTCCCTACTTGAGGCCCACAAGCTATTTTTAATATTTTTAAATGCCTAAAAGAAACAGAATATATAACAATCATGTAACACCTGAGAAAACACCAAGTCTTTGTTCTGGATTCTAATTTATCAACTCAGTGTGGTAACACCTGTTTATCTTATTCTTTTTTTCTGAGACAGAGTCTTACTCTTTCACCCAGGCTGGAGTGCAGTGGCACCATCTCAGCTCACTGCAACGTCCACCTCCTGGGTTCAAGCAATTCTCGTCCCTCAGCCTCCAGAGCAGCTGGAGCTACAGGAGTGTGCCACCACGCCCAGCTAATTTTTGTACTTTTTGTAGATACAGAATTTTGCCATGTTGGCCAGGTAGGTCTCAAACTCCTGACCTCAAGCAATCATACTGCCTCAGACTCCCAAAGGGCTGGGATTACAGGCATGAGCCACTATATCTGGCAGATCCTGTTCTAATCAGAGACTAAGTGGTAGTCACATGTGTCTTTAAATAAAAACAAGCCAGGTACAGTGGCTCATGCCTGTAATCCCAGAATTTTGGGAGGCCAAGGGGGGTGGGTATCTTGAACTCAGGAGTTTGAGACCAGGCTAGGCAACATGGTGAATCCCATCTCTACAAAACAATACCACAATACAAAAATTAGCTGGGCATTGTGGTTCACACCTGTAGTCCCAGCTACTCTGCAGGTTGAGGTGGGAGGCTGGCTTGAGCTGGGGAGGTGAAGATTGCAGTGAACCAAGATTGCACCACTGCAGTGGGCGACAGAGTGAGACCCTCTCTCAAAAAAAAAAAAAAAAAAAAAAAAAAGTAGAAAAATAAATGATTTCTTTACAGTCACTTACTTTAACAGATTTTAAAATATAGAGTTCCGGGCCGGGCGCAGTGGCTCAAGCCTGTAATCCCAGCACTTTGGGAGGCCGAGGCAGGTGGATCACGAGGTCAAGAGAGCGAGACCATCTTGGTCAACATGATGAAACCCCGTCTCTACTAAAAATACAAAAAATTAGCTGGGCATGGTGGCGCGTGCCTGTAATCCCAGCTACTCAGGAGGCTGAGGTAGGAGAATTGCCTGAACCCAGGAGGCAGAGGTTGCGGTGAGCCGAGATCGCACCATTGCACTCCAGCGTGGGTAACAAGAGCGAAACTCCATCTCAAAAAAATATATAAATAAAAAATAAAATAAAATATAGAGTTCCAAGAAAAAAGAAGAGTATCTAATGCTAAAAGATAGGAAACTCGGTGGGGTGTGGTGACTCATGTCTGTAATCCAAGCACTTTGGAGGCCAAGGCGGGCGGATCACCTGAGGTCAGGAGTTCAAGACCAGCCTGACCAACATGGTGAAACCCCATCTTAATTTAAAAAAAAAAAAAAGATAGGAAACTCTAATTTCTCAATGACTTTAAAAATGAATTAGTAATCATGCTTACAGGAAATGAAGGCCACCTGAGAACACCCATACATGCTATCCCGAAAGCCATGCTCTTAAGTAGATACTGATCCAACTGAAATATACTTTTTGACAACTTATACTAACCTCACCACACCTCTCTCATATGTAAGAATAAAATATTCTCCCTGGGCCAGGCGCGGTGGCTCACGCCTATAATCCCAACACATTGGGAGGCCAAGGTGGGTGGATCACGAGGTCAACAGATCGAGACCATCCTCGTCAACATGGTGAAACCCTGTCTCTACTAAAAATACAAAAATTAGCTGGGCATGGTGGCGGGCACCTGTAGTCCCAGCTACTCGGGAGGCTGAGGCAGGAGAATTGCTTGAACCCAGGAGGCAGAGGTTGTGGTGAGCCAACATCGCGCCATTACACTCCAGCCTGGGTAACAAGAGCGAAACTGTCTCAAAAAAAAAAAAAAAATTCTCCCTGGGATAAGCATTTGGAGACTGGAACAATAAAACTCAAATAATATAAACATAAATGATAATACACCAGGACTAAACAAGTTATCCTATTAGGAACCACACATTTTGATAAAACCAAAACCAACATACAGCACAAAAATTGCACCACTGGCCAGGCATGGTGTCTCACATCCTATAATCCCAGAACTTTAGGAGGCTGAGGTGGGAGGATCACTTGGGCCCAGGAATTTGAGACCAGTCTGGAAAACAGGGCAAGATCCTGTCTCTAAAAAACATGTAAAAAAATTAGCTGGGCAGGCTGGGTGTGGTTACTCATGCCTTTAATCCCAGCACTTTGGGAGGCCAAGGACGGGTGGATCACCTAAGGTCAGGAGTTTGAGTCCAGCCTGACCAACATGGTGAAACCTCATCTCTACTAAAAATATAAAAATTAGCTGGGCGTGGTGGCATGTGCCTGTAATCCCAGCACTTTGGGAGGCTGAGCAGGTGGATCACAAGGTCAAGAGATTGAGACCATCTTGGCCAACATGGTAAAACCCTGTCTCTACTAAAAATACAAAAAATTATCTGGATGTGGTGGTGCTCGCCTGTAGTCCTAGCTACTTGGGAGGCTGGGGCAGGAGAATTGCTTGAACCCGGGAGGCGGAGGTTTTAGTGAGCTGAGATCAAGCTACTGCACTCCAGCCTGGCAATAGAGCAAGACTCTGTCACACACACAAAAAAAGTAAAAAAATGCATGTATTTAACATGCTTATATTAATAACTATCATGTAAACACCTCTGACAATAAATTGAAATGAGAAGAGTATTATTTAAAAATTGTTTTTCTAACCGAAAATAAAAATTTTTTTACCTTAATGATATTCATGAATGGTACATGAGTACTATCCTTTCCTACTGATGAAAAAAACTTACTAAATAAATAGCTTCTGAATTATGGGCATAAATAATGTTTTGACTTTTTAAAATACTGCTGCCATATTTTTCCAAGATAACTTTTAAACATGCGTGAATTTTCCATGCAGCACAGCATATATGCTACATAGCCCCTGTCTAAACTTATTTTAATTAAATCTGAAATATGTGACTATTAACATATTTTAACAATATTTCCTTTTTGGAGAGCCCTAGTTCTCCGTTCTCTGAAAGTTCTATAGATTAATGTATATAATAAATACTGGCTAAATGTTCATCAGAGGAAAAAAAACAATGAACAAATCTATAAATTCTCCAAAGTTGAAAGCTAATAAATCCTAAAAGATGAAAGAATCTTAGAACTATAAAGACTGGTAGGGAGTATTTAATTCAATCACTTCATTTTAGAGATTAAAAAGACTGAGGACTAAACAGCTTAAATGACTTGCTTAGCACGAAAAGGAATCAGCCCAACTAGATCCAAGCCTCTTTCCTCAAGGTCCAGAGCTCTCTCCACTACAGTGCAGTGCTTCCCCTACCATACGCGTTTAAATCTCATCTTCTGCTTTAATCAAAGTAATCTCTATGGTTACCATCTGGCAACAAAACACAGGGTAAAAATAGTTAAAATGCAAAATACTGTTTAATGACAGTCACCTGTCACATTTGCAATTACCATTACTATGATCACTAGCGTATGGTTTAATATATGGTATTCTAATTCAGAAGCATGGGTATTAAAGAATTGCATCATACACGCAAGAGAATCACACAGTGGCCTAAAGCCATGATCTGGAGTATCGTCATTTTCTCACAAACGAATTTTTGGATAATGCTCTCTGAAAGTCCGTAGTCACTTAGCACCTCTTCCTTTCATACTCAACCCTACTGACTCTACTCTGCAATTACCCCAAACTGGATTCTATTTGGGTGTTTACTGTCTTTCTAGTCTCAGGAGAATATAAACTCAGTAAGAACAGGGAGCATGTCTATATTGTTCATCACTGCAGTTCAGTGAGCTGCATCACACCAAGTACATGCCACTGCTTCTGCAGATACTATGGTCCATCCTTTTATCCTTCTATCAGTGACTGATGCACACAGCTGACCTCCTAAGTGGTCTGTAAGTTCCTTTAGGGCTGGATCCTTGTTTGTTACTTCTCTTTGCACCAACCTCCACATAATATGTGTTGAATGGATTGGCACATACCTGATCTATATTCAGTTGATCTTAATGGCTGACAATTCCTAATTCTTACTGTCACAATAAGCAGGATGTGACAAATTATATGGTTGACAATTGAGTGCTATTTGAAGGACACTACCATCATTTATTTTATAATTACAATTCATTTAATACAATTGTTTTTCCAGCTCTCAGCTCATGTTCTTCTTGGGACACTTAATACAATTTCTAATTTTCAAATCACCCCACCCTTTTCTTCCAATCTTCCATGTTCTACCCTATGGCTAAACATCCTTCTCCTTTTCCTGTCTATTCACACATTTCCTGAAATTCCAACTCCTTGATGCTGCCTTTCAACTCAGAAGGAACAGTATGGTTAGAGTTATCCAAAACCAACCTGGTAAAACATGTGACTCATTTTTCTCATTAAAATAATCCTTGTAAATTCCATAAGTGACTAATGAGTTTGTTCAATATCCATACATGTTGGGTATCTGTAAGTTCTGTTTGTGCCTCCTTTAATTCCTTAAATGAATCCAATCTTATAATGATTTGTTACACAACCTAAACAAGTAAGAAAAAGGCTGATAAAAAGTCATCACAGCCAGGCATGGTAGCTCATGCCTATAATCCCAGCACTCTGGGAGGGGGAGATGGGCGAATCACTTGAGGTCTGGAGTTCGAGACCAGCCTGGTCAACCCGGTGAAACCCTGTCTCTGCTGAAAATAGAAAAATTAGCCAGGCATGGCGCTATGTGCCTGTAATCCCGCTACTTGGGAGGCTGAGGCACAAGAATTGCTTGAACCTGGGAGGGGGAGGTTGCAGTGAGCCGAAATCATGCCACTGCACTCCAGCCTGGGCAACAAAGCAAAACTCGGTCTCAAAAAAGTCACCACAAATAGCTGAAATTTAAAGCCAGTCCAATCCGCCCCCCCCCGCCCCCCCGCATAGTCCAACTTTTAAAGTGACCTATTCCTTAAAGGGGTCTCTTTTGTTTAAGCTAACAATGTGAACTGTTGTACATTTTACTTGCTCTTTATTTTTAACATTAACCATAAGAAGAGGCTACTGGTGACAAAAAGAAATGAAAAGACATTAAGCCAGGTACAGTGGTGTGTAGGCAGGAAGCCAAGGCAGGAGGATCTCTCAAGTCCAGGAATTTGAGACCGCTAAGCTTGCTTATAAGGAGTTACTTATATCCTATTGCTCAAGGTCATTAACAAGGTCTGATTTTTCACAAAAAAATTTTGCAACCTCCAGCATAAATGGGTTAAGAGGAAGGAGAATCAAAGGTACATTCAATTTAAGAATGTAAGTAGTCCTCAAATAACTATGTGCCAAATATGCCATAATTAAAAAGAGAATGAGAAACCCTCAGTATAATAAGAACTGCTAAATACCCTATCTTTACAGTTCAGAAAAGGCCCTCCTTAAGATTAATTTTTAGCTCCTGAATACAAGGCAAAGAGATAACCATCATCAACAACTAGTATCACTTTTACTAACACTCCATCAATCTGATGCAGGGTGTTCATACACCAATCACAGAGGCAGTAGAATGATTAAAAATACAGGCTCTGGTCGGGAGTTCAAGCTGCCCAATATGGTGAAACCCTGTCTCTACTAAAAATACAAAAATTAGCTGGGCGTGGTGGAAGGTGCCTGTAGTCCCAGCTACTCAGGAGGCTCTTAATACCCAATTGGCAAAGATTATCTAAAGGTGAAGAGCTACTGCCTCCTTTTCTGGGCAGGTACTTAGGTTTTTGGCCAGCTGCGGTGGCTCACGTCTGTAATCCCAGCACTTTGGGAGGCCAAGGCAGATGGATCACTTTAGGTCAGGAGTTCCAGACCAGTCCTGGCCAACATGGTCTCCACTAAAATACAAAAATTAACCAGGCGTGATGGCACCTGTAGTCCCAGTTACTTGAGAGGCTGAGGCAGAAGAATCGCTTGAACCCGGGAGGCAGGGAGTCATAGTGAGCCAAGATCGCACCACTGCACTCCATCCTGGGTGACAAGAGTGAAACTCCATCTCAAAAAAAAAAAAAAAAAAAAGTTCAGGTTTTCATTACAATTGGCTCACTAGGCACGACAGCATGGTGTATGAAAACACAAGCTCCAGAATCTAGAATCGGACTGCCTGGGTTTGCTTCTTGACGTCACCACTTTATTAGCTGTATGATCTTGGGGCATATTATTCAACTTTTTCTAGCCCAAGTTTTCTTATCTGTAAAATAATAATAATAGCTATTGCATAGGGCTGCGGTGAGGATCAGATGGCTTAGTACATGTAAGCACAGTGCCTGACACTGCAGAAACTACTCAACAAATGTCAGCTATTGTTATCTGTCTGGCATTGGGGGCAGCTGAGTTTTCCCACCCTTATGTAACTGATGTTTGTTTATGCCAGCTGCTAGAAAGCTCTTAATGAATTGATGGCTCCTCCTCAGCAAGCATACTGAACCTAAGGTATACAGAGTACCAACTTACCACCTTTCTTCATCCTTGCTGTTTGGAAAGCCCGTTAAACTCTTACAGTGCCGACTTGTCTTTACTTCTGTAGTCCATCTCCAGTAATGACTCCACCCCACCCCAGTCTCATTAATTCTTCAAGACCCAATACAAATGTCAGCCCTCCTGTAAAACCTTCCCTTATGGCACCATTAAGAATGCATAGCTTCCTTCTCGGTGTTCCTGTAACACTTTCCCCTTGTATGGTCCTCACCACCATGCATGACTTGACTAATTCACTACGTACATCAACTCCTAAAGGACAGGGTCCTGTGTTACTCATCTTTGTACTATCACTTTCCTGCCTCTTCTCCAAGCCAAAGACCAGGCACATAGCCATGATCCATAAACGATTTAACGACATAAATTGATTCGGCAACAGCAATAGAATGATACTCTCTGATCTGGCCTGAACACTGAAGCGGCCTTATTCTCTGGCAAACTCCTAAGGTAAACGTTACTTAAACAACATCCAAGAAAAGACCAAAAGTAAAACGGAGCCCTAAGTCCAACAGAGGGTAGTGATCATCTGTTTTCGGGAGGGTCTGGGAAGCTATAGGCGTGGGCGTGCTCCGCAGTCCCGGCTGGGCCGACCTGAGGTCTCCCACTCGTGCAGTCCCAACTAGGGCTGAGCAGGTAAAGGGGGGAATGCATGCTCCAGCCCGCAGGCCCCCTGAGGCCTAAACAGGCTCTGCGCCGTGACTCAGCCCCTGGCGCCCGCCAACAGCCAGCCGGCCTCTCCTCACCTTGGCTAGCTTTGCACACTCGGGTAGGCGCTGATCCACCGTGGCGCTGTAGTCCACCTCCATCTTGACGATGCGTCCGTCAGCCCGCTCCGACCCGCCGTCCGCCATGGTCCCCGCCTGAGCGTCCCTTGCTGTCCCCCTGCTTCGGCCACCACTCGTCACCCACACCGGAAGCCGCCCGCGCGCCCGCTCAGGCAATGCATCGGGAGCCCAGGCGAAGGACCCTTCGAGGCCCCCGTCACTGGTCGCTAGCCAGGCACTGCCGCGGACAGCCCTGAGGGTGGGGCTTGGGGCACGCGGGGCGGGGCTCGCCGCTTCACCCAGCAGCCCGCGTCTGGTTTTGTCTCTGTAAACATCTGCCTTTTAATATCTAAAATTTGCGATGAAAAACGCGAGGGTAATAGAACAGACCATCTCATATATTCCTACACCCTTGCTCCGAAATATAATTTCTTAGGATCGTGGGCAATCGCTTAACTTTTTTTGGATCTCGGTTTTCTCATCTCTGCATTAGGAGGCTGAAATAAACCTTAGAAAGTTCTAAGGTTTTATCTAGTTGAGAATCTTGGTGGCTTAATCTGTGGGATCTCTGAAAGCTCCTAACAGAAGACATGGCAGCAGCTCAGTCATTTAACAAGCAAAGTGATTTGTTTGTTTTCGTTTTTACTATAATCCACTAAGTTGGAAAAAGAAAAGTTAGAAAGACATTTTATTTGTTATCCCCGTAGGACTTTCGTGAGCATCAAACGAGATGACATGTTAAACAATTTCAATCCTTTTTTTAAATATATGTAAAGATGGGGTTTCACCATGATGGCCAGGCTGGTCTTGAACTCCTGATCTCAGGTTAGGCCTCCCAAAGTGCTAGGATTACAGGGGAGAGCCACCACGCCTGGCCACAATTTCAATTCTTAAGGGCCTTACAGGTGTTATGTGCTATTTATACCATGCTGGTCCCTATAAAATAGCTGGAGATCTTAAAACAGCTTAGCATCCTTGAAAATGGGAATGGGGCTGGGCGTAGTGGCTCACGCCTGTTATCCCAGCACTTTGGGAGACTAAAGCGGGTGGATCAGAAGGTCAAGAGATCGAGACCATCTTGGCCAACATGGTGAAACCCCGTTTCTACTAAAATACAAAAAGTAACTGGGCGTAGTGGTGCGCGCCTGTAGTCCCAGCTACTTCGGGACGCTGAGGCAGGAGAATTGCTTGAACCCGGGAGGCGGAGGTTGCAGTGAGCCAAGACTGCGCCACTGCACTCCAGCCTGGCGCCTGGCGACAGAGCAAGACTCTGTCTCAAACAAAAAAAAAAAAAAAAAAAAAAGGAAAGAAAGAAAGAAGATGGGAATGAGGTTTCGTTTCGTTTGGTGTGGGCATACGGTCAACAGCAGCCTGGAAAGCAAACAAGAAAACCGGAAATCTTGGAGTGGTTTATCTGTTATGTTAGTGGTTCTCAGTTTAATCAGTGCCAACATGGCTTTATAGATGCTGAATCGATCTTTTTGTTTTTTATAATTGCAATGAAAATCAGGGAAAATTTAACCTATCTGCAAGCAAAATAAGACAGTATCTTAGTTATAATCTGTAATATAAATGAGAAAAATTTTACCTTTTTTTTTTGTAGAGACAGCAACTCTACTACATTGCCCAGGCTGGTCTCAAACTCCTGGCCTCAAGCAGTCCTCTCAGCTTGGCCTCCAAAAGTGCTGATATTACAGGTGTGAGCCACTGTGCCCAACCAAGATACAAATTTTAAAACAGCAAAATAATTTGTATTTCAAAAGATAAAGGCCAAAACACGTCTACAGTAGAAAATACAAGGAAGTAGTCATTTGCTTGCACCCATACACAATAACTATAAATGGAAAAGCTGCCACTGCAACAGGTGTGTTCTCTTGGTTCCTGAAGCATCAAAGGGCTTATTATTGGTGACATTTTCCAAATTGGTAACCAACAAGCCACTTCTTGGTAGAGGTTTTTTTTGTTTGTTTTTGTTTTTGAGACAGAGTTTCATTCTTCTTGCCCATACTGGAGTGTAATAGTGTGACCTTGGCTCACTGCAGCTGCCACCTCCTGGGTTCAGGTGATTCTCCTGCCTCAGTCTCCCAAGTAACTGGAATTACAGGCATGCACCACCACCACTCTATCCTTCCAGATGCTCAAGTCACAAACCTTGCAGACATGTCTGACCCCTCTCCTCTCACATCCATCAGCAAATCCTGTCTTGGCTCTGTCTATCTTCAGTAGATATCTAGAATCCAGTCACTTCTTACCACTTCCACCACCTGAACCTCTGCCTCCCAGGTTCAAGTGATTCTCCTGCCTCAGCCTCCCAAGTAGCTGGGATTGCAGGCATGCACCACCACACCCGGCTAATTCTGTATTTTTAGTAGAGATGGGGTTTTTCCATGTGGTCAGGCTGGTCTCCAACTCCCAACCTCAAGTGATCCACCTACCTCTGCCTTACAAAGTGCTGGGATTATAGACGTGAGCCACTGCCCCTGGCTTTTTTTTTTTAATTTTGTAGTCTGTTGGCTGGGCCTCCTGTGGCCCATGCTGGTTTCTCCCTCTTCCCTCCGTGATTGTGACAACCCAAATTCCCCTACAGGCTTCTAAAACACACTCTAGAGGCTGGTATTGTTGAGACACACTAGGCTAAGATGCCTTCTTTTCACTATATATTCTGTGTGAAATTGGTTTGACGAGAGTACACGTCAATAGGATCTGGAAGTGTAAATTAATTTTTTTTATTAAAAAAAATCTTTTTTGAGACAGTCTTGTTCTTTCGCCAAGCTGGAGTGCAGTGGTGAGATCAAGGCTCACTGCAGTGCTGACCTCCTAAGCTCAAGTGATTCTTCTGCTTCAGCCTCAGCCTCCCAAGTAGCTGAGACTATTCAGCTGTTGGTTTTTGTTTTTGTTTTTCTTTTTTTTTTTTTTGAGATGGAATCCTGCTCGGTTGCCCAGGCTGAGGTGCAGTGGCACAGTCTCTGCTCACTGCAACCTCTGCCTCCCAGATTCAAGCAATTCTCCTGCCTCAACCTCCTGAGTAGCTGGGATTACAGGTACCTGCCACTATACCTAGCTAACTTTTGTGTTTTTTAGTAGAGATGGGGTTTCGACATGTTGGCCAGGCTGGTTTCAAACTCCTGACCTCAGGTAATCCACTTGCCTTGGCCTCCCAAAGTGCTGGGATTACAGGTGTGACCCACTGCGCCCTGGCCTGTTCTTTTCTTTTTTTGAGGTGAAGTCACAGTCTGTCACACAGGCTAGAGTGCAGTGGTGTGATCTCGGCTCACTGCAACCTCTGCCTCCCGGGATCAAGCGATCCCCCTGCCTTAGCCTCCTAAGTAGCAGGGACTACAAGTGTGTGCCACCACACCTGGCTAATTTTCGTATTTTTAGTAGAGACTGGGTTTCACCATGTTGACCAGGCTGGTCTAGATCTCCTGACCTCAAGTGATCTGCCTGCCTTGGCCTCCCAAATTGCTGGGAATACAGGCATTAGCCACTGTGCCCGGCCCTCAGATATTGTTTTAATTTTTTCTTTTTCTTAGCAGAGATGTGGGAGGAGGGGTTCACTGTGTTGCCCAGGCCAGTCTTGAACTCCTGGCCTCAAGCAAGCCTCCTGCCTCTTCCTCCCAAAGTGCTAGAATTACAGGCATGAGCCACGGCGCCCAACTGGAGGTCTAAATTTAGAGTGAAGAGTTTGAGAAGACGAAAAGTAAAAAAGGTATGATGGAGTAGACAGATTTATGATTTCCTGAACTCAAAAATTAAGGAAAGGATTTAAGAAGGGGCAAATAAATAGGAGGGGGAGAAAAGTATTTGGCTCCCAAACCAAATTAGAACCCTTCCTTGCTGAGTTCAGAGGTAAAAGAAAATGAAAGCAAGTTGACATCCTAAGGAAACAAGAGATTAAAGTTAAATAAATAAGAAATCTCAGAAGTCTGAGAAATGGTCAGAAAAAAATAGGTGAGAGTACTGTATTACAGACAGATACTTTATGAATTCTTTATCTGGGTGAGTCTGAGATTAAATCTGTGGCTTCGTAAGAAAGAAGTTGGTTTCAGAAGAGAAAAATCGACAGTGTAGGAATATCTAAAAGGCAATAGAGAAATACTGATTGGGAAGAGGGGTTTATTCAGAAAGAATGTCATCGTGTATATTACAACACTCATTATTAGAAGTAATGTGCCCATGTATTAATTACTATGTTTGGTATATTTTTTCCTAGTTGGCATTCCTGGCACATTCATCTTATTGGCTGTGCACATATCTGACCCAAAGATCCTGCCATTGGGAAGTGAACATTCTTTTTCTTTTTTGAAACAGAGTCTTGCTCTGTCACATAGGCTGGAGTGCAGTGGCACAGTCTCAGCTCACTGTAGCCTCAGCCTCCCAAGCAGCTGGGATGATAGGTGTGCACCACCATGCCTGGCTAATTTTGTATTTTTAGTAGAGACAGGTTTTGCTGTGTTGGCCAGGCTGATCTCAAACTCCTGACCTCAGGTGATCCGACTGCCTCAGCCTCCCAAAGTGCTGGGATTACAAGCCTGAGCCACCATGCCCAGCCATGGAAAGTGAACGTTCTAATGGGGAGAAGACAGAAAATTAATATGTAAATATGTGTGGGGGTGGGGCAGGGGTTGATAAACATTTGGAAGTGGTCAGGCAAGGCATTACTAGTGAGCCAAGAATGAAGGTAAGTAAGGAGCCGGGCTTGCAGGGATTTGGGGGATGAAGAATTCAGGCAGAGGCTGCAGCAGGTGAGTGAACGCTGAGATGAGAGCGATCAGATCATGTCTGGCCTGTTTGAAGAACAAAGTCAGAGTGACCAGAGCAGAATAAGTGAGGGTGAACATCGTAGGAGATGGGGTTTAGGGCAACTTGACCATTGTAAGGGCTTGGTGTTTTTGGTTTCTACTCTTTTAGAGAAGATCCCGCTATGTCACCCAGGCTGGTGTTGAACTCCTGGGTTCAAGCGATCCTTCTGCCTTTGTCTCCCAAGTAGCTGGCCTCTTAGGTAGCTGAGATTACAGGCATGAGCTATAGGACTCGGGTTTTTGTTTTGAGATGGGGTCTTGCTCTGTCACTCAGGCTGGAGTGCGGTGGCACAATCAGCTCACTGCAGCCTCGACCTCCTAGACTCAAGTGATCCTCCAGAGTAGCTGGGAATACAGCTACTCTATAGCATCCACAACACCTGCCAAATTTTTTTCATTTTTCAAATAGAGACAG